AAAAAAAAAAGTTTGGTTTGCCATAAGAAACATACAACACATAAAATATATAGCTCACACATGCAGTACAATTGAAATTAGAATAAAACATGAATATGTATGTGATTGCTTGTCTTACATTGCGTGGACTATTTTGGACGAGATCAACTGCTTCTTGGTTGGTAAAGTGCTCCCAGAGGCCATCTGATGCAAATATGATGAACTGATCATGAGGCTGCAATTGGTGCTCCAAAATCGCTGGTTCTGCACTTAAGATTGGTCTTTTGAAAGGTTCGCGAAGTCTGAATCTCTGATATAACGGCTCCCTGTTGAATTCAGCCTTTTTCAGGTACACGTCTCCAATTGATCTCGAGATCTGCAAAATAAGACACATATTACGTACGGCAACATGGATGGGACCCAAAAGCAACAACTTTCTTACAAAGGTAAAAGATAGACCAAATGGTGCAAATGAGGATCCCTAATAACTATCAATAGCTTTGTTGTACAAAAATCAGTTTCAATTTGAAGCAGGACACTGGTCACTTCTTTTGGCATCATAATTAGAAGAAGAAAAAAAAAAGGACACCCTCAAAATGGGCAACAAAATCAAAGTTGCATGCAACTAGAATTTAGGCTGCTTATAACACTAGAACATCGACATAAATTATAAAGATAACTAAAAGAGTATAAATGCAGTCTAAGTATCAATTATAATGCTGGGAAATCTGTGATGATCCGTTGTCCCAGGACAACTATAACATAAAACGTAAAGGCATTTTAGCAATAAATTCTATCAAAAGAACCGAGATCTTAACCAGCCAAACTAGATCAAACTACAAAACCTAGATCCCATACCTAGAAACGCGTACATATTTAGTCAAATATGACAGCCTCCATTTCTGATGACGCAGAGTTTATAGGCTTTTGCAGACTCAATCAAACTTATAAAAGGTGTAAGAACTTTTACCACAAGGAAAACATCAAAAAGATCAATAATGCAGACAATGAGTCATGTCTAAACATAGTAGCACTTGTTTCAGATGTCTTTGATAAAATATCAGAAAATGGTGCAGCATGACACAAAACCAACACTCCTAAAATTCCCAAGTCGACCAAACGGCATAAAGAAAAATTAAGATAAAACAAACCTGTATTAGTCCTTTCAAACGCCACACATTATGCTTTTGATACTAATCTCAATTATGACAAAATATCAGAAAATGGTGCAGCAGGACACAAAAGCCAACACTCCTAAAATTCTCAGTCGACCAAACGGCATAAAGATAAATTAAATAAACAAACCTGTATAAGTCCTTTCACACGCCACACATTATGCTTTAGAACTACAATATGTGGGTCATCAGGGTGTAGAGACTGAAGTTCCTGTCTAACAGACTCTATGCTCGCATTATGCTCTGCCGAGAGCTGAACAGCAAGCACTTCCCCCGTCGCTTTAACAAGTCTCCCCAAAACAGCGCGTGAATCACCAAGGTTAGCGATATAGAGGGTCCCACCGCAGATAATTCCTACAAGGCAGCAAGATCCAACGGCTGCAATTTGCGGTTTCATAGGCCATTGTCTGCTCACAACCGAGAAAAATCCATCTTCCGTCGCTTGGAAAGCCTTCTTGATGACCTCCACTGACATAGATTGATGTTCTGCAGTGAACCCTGAAGGATTTAACAAAAGCAA